TTCTCTCCAAAATCTTCCTGACCACTGAGGTGAGGCTTATGGGCCTATAGTTACTTGGGTCCTCCTTCCTCCCTTTCTTGAAAATTGGAACCATGTTAGCCAGTTTCCAATCCCCCAGCACTTGGCCAAATGACCACGAATGCTCATACAGCTGGGCCAAGGTTTCCGCGATGACCCTTGCCAGCTCCCTCAACACCCTTGGGTGTAGGGCATCTGGACCTGCAGATCTAAAAATGTCTAGCTCTTCCAAAAGATTCCTAACTACATCTGCACTGACTGAAGGCTTGACAGAGCTATCCCTGAGATTGTCCCTACCTCTGGTAGGTGGGATGTCCCAGTCCCTGTTCAAGAAAACAGGCAAAGAAACTGTTGTCTTCTAGCATTTCACCAACTGTTGGAATGAAGCAACTTTAAAAGAGTAGAGAAATACCAGAGTTTTTAGGACAGGAAACAAAACATACCTTAGCCAACTAAAATGGCAGAGGCTTTTTCAGCCACAAAATATACTTTCTCACCTTTGGTCATAAACCTAACCTCTAAACTTGTCATAAATGATGTAGTCATTACTTCACCTTGTAAGTGACTGAAATCATGGCATCAGAGCAAACCAGATGCCATACTAGCTGGAACTTCCAATAAAATGAGCACTGTTTCTGGCCTGAAGTATGCTGTATCTTGCCAAAAGGCTGATTTGATTTGAAGTCAATGGCTAGGATGTTCTACAGAGACCCAGCATAAAACTGTTTATAGTGTTTTCTGCTGCACTTTGGCTAGTCTGATTCAAGTTTGTGGTTCATCAGAATGCTGTGTCTGCTGCTTTTTCTAGAAAACAAAACAAATTTCCATGCATCCATTTCTCTGCCTTAAAAAAGTAAAGTCCTCCTTGCTTGTCTTACAAAAAGCTACAGTTTAACAATCTGCAACTAATTGTTTCCCTTTCAAGCAGCCAAAGGGCGTTTACTTCCAGAGGCCCTCCTGTCGGAGAGATTTCTTTAACCCCAGCTTTATTTTAGTTATTCCCATTCCTCAGCTAACTTCTTGTAGAGGTGGGTTCTCCGTCAAGACCCCACATGGGCTGCATTAAATGAAGTAGCTGTAGCTTCTTCCACCATGCTATAGCCAACTTCATAGCATGTTTGGTGTATAATATCACACAACAAATCTACCAGTTTCTATGTAGCATAAACTTGTGTTCACAGGCCTTTGCATGACTGCTTGGCAAATCAAGTGTTCTTAAAGGCAGCAAACTAGTATAACTGTCTGCTTCCTGACCCACACAGTCCATTTTAAGGAAGAAGGAAGGCTAGTAAGTTGGCCTCCTTGCATTCATGGAGTGAAGCGAGCATAAAAAGAACAGCACTCTGGACGTGAAGTTTTCTTGCTGAACTGTAACAGCACTGTTTTTTGAGTTTTTTTTACTTGGAGCACAGAAGACTTTTCACGTGGTAGATAGGAGTTAATTACTTTGTAGTTGGCATATCAACTAATAATCATAAAGTGGCACAGATTATTACTACTGCTCATAGCTGACTGAGAGTTAGAAATGGCAGACAGAACGGTAGCCAAAATTCTCAATGTGCGTCATCCAAAGCTATAGTTAGCTAAGGAGTCAGGGTTTTTTTGTAGGTTTTTTTTTTGTGTGTGTGGTGTGTTGTTGGGTTTTTTTTACAGAAATTAAGGGGAAGTTGAATTCATTTAGCTGTGAAAATCAGAATTATCTTAATAGGGTAAGTATCTGCCTTTTCTGTAAGAGCACCAGAACTTGAGCCCAGATCCTTTATTTACTCAGTGTCAGTGTGACTTTCCTGGTTAAATTCCTAGTTTTGGACCAGAGAGTGGAAAGTCACATACCTGGATTTTGAAATATGTCAGACTAAGCAAGCAGTAATAGTCCACTCTTGGAAACTGAGGCCATTCTGACATCCCTAGTGACTGTCTAGGTCAGGGCTGTCCAACTGCCACATGCAGCCCCTGAAGGGTTAAGCTGTGGCCCCTGGGCTCCTGCCTGACTACTGCTCCCCGCCCCATTGCTTTGGCTGCAACAGCATCTGGAATCTTCAGGCTCCCCCGCACTCTGGCTTTCTCTGAGGGGCAGTGCAGCACGGTTGAAGGTGAGCCTGTAAGCATTTCATTCAACAGCTTGTCTAAATCTATCCCAGCCATGCAGTTGGTCCAATAAAATAGCTGCCCACAAAAATCCTTGCTGCTTACATATTTCCTGGACCTTCACCGCTACAGCATCACTCCAAGACTGCTATCTCCTCATTGCATTGTTTTCTGTTTTTTGATCCTTTTTTTTTTTTCTTTTAGTGACTAGCTTTTATTTATCTGTAATCTCTCTGTCTTCCGAGGCAGTTCACTCTTGCCTTCAGGTGCATCTACTTGGTAGTCCCTATCAGGAGATATGCAGTATCTGAATTTTTTTCATCTGATATGCTTCCCTAGGTATGGCTTATCTGGCAGTGATGTTCTCGATAATGTAGCATATGCTCGAGGGTTTAACACAGACCATCAGACCCAGCTCCTGTATCAGGCATCTGCTATGATGGCAGAATCAAGGTAACAGTTGACATAAGCAGAACTTATTTATACACTTTAAATGATAACACTGTAAAAGCTGTCGTAACTGCTGAAAAAAATTAAGTGAACTTTACTAGATGCATTTGCTTTCTTAATTGCCAGACAGGGGCAGCTATTAAAGTCTAGTCATTCCACAGCAGGTGGGATCAAGCCAGTCAGTATTGCATTCAGCTGTAAATGCTTCTTAATTGGTATTCTGTCTCTAGTCAAATTCTGGATGATTCTCATAAGAATCTAGCTAGAGCTTCTGGCTAAAGCAGTGGTAGCTTAGATTAGCACCTTTTCTCTGTAACTTGCTACAACCATAGAATGATTTGTAAAGACTAGTTCAGAATCATTTTTAGCAGTATTTGTTAAATTCAAATGTATGGAATGGTGGGTTTTGGGGGGGGGAGTTGGTTTTGTTTTGGTTTTGGTTTTTTTTAAAGAAAAAAGCTTGCAGTACAACCAGTGGATTGTGATGGCTTTGGTTTATAATTAAAATCATGAGTTTCAATTGGAGAGAGAGACCAATTGGAATGGGAAACTTCATTAAAGGCTTGATCCTCAAAGTTGCTGATATGATTTATTAAATCTAGGTGGATTTATTGGAGCACTTAAGTATATGCTTATTTTCTAACCATATGAAAAATGTTTTGGACTCTCAGGGACTCTACATGTTCTTAACTGGATTGGTCAGTACTCAACAGCTCACAGGATCATGTTTTAGTGGTGCAAAATCCACAGCCTCCATCCTGCTCCATCAGTTCTGAGCCCTTAATTGTTGTTCAGTTCGTGTACTACTTCAGCTTCCTCGTATGTCACAGAATGGGAGTGGACCCCACTGACCTTAATTGTATTATGGAGATTGATCAATAAATTGGGTTAATAAGTACAGCCCCACTTGAAAATGTATTGGGCTGGTGCCAGTTCTCTCCACTTGCTAGACCTGATCAGTTCATAATGCCACCCTTAAGGCAAAAACTGATCTAAGCGCCAAGTAATAGTGACTTTTGCTAGTAGCGCTCTCACTGTTAAAATAAATGAAAGCAGTAGAGGACAGCTGGATTGTCCCTAAAACTAAAACGATGCTACGCAAGACATTTAGATTACTTTTTAAAAGACACTCCCACAATACAAGGTATACTACTTTAGCAAGATTCCTCATAGTTGGAAGGGGGACTTGTATTGACCTATCTTTCCAGTTCTAACCATGATGTGCTGGGCACTCTACAAACCGAAGACCTGGTTCTTGCCTTGAAATGTTTGAATCATAAATATGTATATATGATATCCTCTAGGTATGCACTGCTGATAGTGGACAGTGCCACAGCCCTTTACAGAACTGATTACTCTGGCCGGGGTGAGCTGTCAGCCAGGCAGATGCACCTGGCTAGATTTCTGCGGATGTTGCTTCGACTTGCAGATGAGGTAAACTCTCTGTGGGCTCTGTCTCTCTTCATTCTCCGTGTAACTCCATTACCTCCTGACATTTTCCATGGATTTCTTCTTACTGATCTTTCTTCGTGAAAGGATTATCTGCTTGTTGTTACAGCTATTTCCAGTTGCTTTGTGGGGGAGGGTTGAGTAGATCTCATCAGCTCTAGATATGCAGAGGACTGTCTAGAAAGGAGATCTGGATATTGGAGAGTATCTTTTTCTTGTACACTTGGTAGAAAAGAACTTGACTTTTGTACCTCTTTCCTGCTAGTTTGGTGTGGCAGTTGTGATCACAAACCAGGTGGTAGCACAAGTGGATGGAGCAGCCATGTTTGCTGCAGACCCTAAAAAACCTATTGGAGGGAACATCATAGCACATGCCTCAACCACCAGGTAAAAGACTACAGCACCACTTTTCCCTTGTATTACTGTGCATAGGCCTTTTGGAATTACTGACTTGACACTTGCAATTTTTTAATACAGAGTTGATATAATTTCTTGTCTGCTTTTTCAAAAGCCATGGAAATCTTTGAACACTGACAACTGGCTTTTATTTTTCTTTAATGCAAAAACATTTGTGTAGTATTGTACAGTACTCATAAAGCTTTGCAGATCCCCCAGTAAGTTGGATCTTGTGCCATCAAAAGCTTAATGTTAACACATTTTTTTTCTCTGTTAGGCTGTATCTGAGGAAAGGTCGAGGTGAAACCAGAATATGCAAGATTTATGACTCTCCTTGCCTTCCTGAGGCTGAAGCCATGTTTGCTATTAATGCTGATGGTGTTGGAGATGCTAAAGACTGAGAAACCCATTCCATTTCATTTGTAACTTGAGTCTTCTGGCCAAAGGAGGCTGCATTCTCTTTATGATCTCAACTCTTAGTTGCTCCCTTGCAGTCACCATGAAAAGGCTGTCTGAGGAAACTGTCACAGCTTAGCAGATACATCTGGGACGCATCAGGTGCAGCTAACTGGTTGGTGGAATATTTTCTTGGGGCTGCAGTTGCATAACACTCTAACATGGTTTCTTCAGAATATGCACGGGACTTCTGGCCTCCATAGGCATCATTCAACAATAACTGCTGCGAAGTTGGATCCTGAGGTGGATATAATGCACTAGTGTTGTGACTGCACTTCGCAACAATTCATAATTTTGCAAGGTTCATAGGTTTGTCAAGTGCAAAGAGTAGTAACTTCAACATTTTCCCAGTTTAATGATTAGTGACAAAAAAGCAAAACAGTGCTGCAGATTTAAAAGTATAATAATGGTGTTTCAGATTGATCACAATCTAAATTTCTTCTACTATTCATTTGTTATGGATACTGCAAATACACTGTTTTTTGTAAGTAGCTATTTTTTTCTTTTATCTCAGAACTGTATGAGAATCCTTCTTTTAATAAAGAGTTGTGAAAAATACTGATTTATATTAGTGGTCTCAGCAAGATATCAGTTAAGACCAATGGGGTTTTCAGAATTGGCAAAACTGCTTTTGACAATGCATCTTCCCATAGAAATCTCCTAAGAACCAGCTAGTGACTCTGTTCAGCTTCTGAGACTTCATAAGCTTGCAGTTTGACTTTGGTTTGATATGAGAGAATGTACTTCAAGAAAAGGCGACTTTATGAAGATGGGTGGTGATGCTGGCTCTTCATTTCCCAGTAGATAACTACTTAGCTTTATTATGTCGCTTCAACTTCACCAAAAGGTAAAATGTCATCTTCCCCCCCACCCAGTCTCTTGTTAAGTATTTTATTCTTTCCTCTTATGTGTTTTTTAAAAATGTTTATCATCATAGAATATCAATTATTTGTACCTCCTTGTCTGTTTGCACTGTATGATTAAATTCACCCTAAATGCAAATCTTCCTGTTTCTAAACCTAACTTTAGATATGATATGCTCCTGAAATTCTTACCTCCAGTGGTATGAAATTGCTGACCTGCAGACCTCTGGTTTCCTAACAGTCGGAAACAAACTTTTACATCTAGCTGTAAAACCTGTCAGTTTTAAGCACTCGGAGAGAGTGGAAGTAGAAAGAGGTTTTCAAAAGTACCCAAGCAAAAGTCAGGGGGATTTAGGCTCCTAATTTATAGGGGTGGGCATGTGTGTGTAATCTGTACAGCTGAGCACTTCCCCACCAAGGTCTATGTTGCTTGTTAAACAGGCTATTTAACTTTTTTAAAAAGTAATAATCCTCCTTAAGAGATGTTAAATACTTAAATAAGCCTGTTGTCAACCTTTCTTTCATCCTTAAAACAAAACTGACATTCCTTCTGTACAGCACATGATTTTTCCTATGCTCTCCTTGTAGTACTTACCTTTTTGAAAGGTCAGGGAGTCCTGGAGGCACTGGGATGCGATCAGTTGACAGTGTTGGTCATAAATTCCTACGGTGACAGTATGTGTGTAGGGGCAGGGAGCAGTGTTCAAGACAACATTGCTTAAAAGCCTAAATTGGGCTCTAGATGTGATAATTAATTGTAAAGGATTACTGTTGAACAGAAATTGCAAACCACTGAAGCTATCTTGTATATTTAGAAGTAATGGTAAGTAGCATTACTAGAGTTTGGGAGGGGAAATGATAGGTTGGAGTGCCTGGGCTAAGGAAAAAAGGAAGAGCTATACTGGCATGGTTGTGGTTTGCTTTTCCTGTCCCTCCCTCAGGCTAGTGACAGCTGTCTGGTAAATGGTAATGTATCTTGCTGTTGTTTCAACGCTGGGTAGGTACCAGTCACGAATATCTTGCTCCCAGTCCTCTGAGGGCTGACACATCTGCTTTGCAGCCCCAGGAACATTTGGCAACACCATCAGTTTTGCAATTTGCATTTTGTACGCAAATTAAAAGCCTCATGCTACAAATGTGGAATGCAAAACCCACAAGGCCCAAGGAACTGTTTGACTTGCAGATGGAAGAACACAGGCATGGTGTCATGTTGTTGAGAAACAGTCGCATGTTCTTTCCTAGAAAAAATAGCTGTGCCTCACAACTCGCTGCATTTTGTTTTCTGGGCCTACAGCCAACCAGGTTTATGTCATTGTGTGTGGTCAGCAAAGTTTTCCTAAGCACCCAGCTTCAGAAGCATACGCTAAACTTTTCCAGATGCAGACCTACTAGTGCAAGTGTGGAGAAAGCGCTACTCAAGGACTCCAGTGATCCCTGTTTGTTAGTTCTGCAAATACACAAACCCACTGCGGGACACCAGAGCTTGCCCTTGGGTATGTTTTCAATTATGCATAGGAATCTTTGTTAGAGGTCAGAATTTAGATTGAAAACAGTAGGATTGCTGCATTGGTTGGTGTTACCTCACTCCAATACTACCAGGGCTTAGGTTCTCTTACCAGAACCTAAGCTTGAAAGAGCTTTAACAATGAAGCCTTAACAATGAAGGAAAGGAGGAACAAATGACCTGTGCTACTTTAGGTTTAGAGGTCAGTAATGACTTACATTAAAGTATCTGGAGTTAAATCTAACTTGCTGGTTCATTTTCACTATCTAGCTTTAGCTAACTGAATTACAAATGCGTGTAGTTCAGTTTTAATGCCCCTGACTAATCAAAATCAGAGCAGCATAACAACAACCGTGGCTGTGGTGGTTCCAATGTTAAAACTGCTGTTTGTCTGTTCCTCTGCACACTGATCTGAACAGTGCTGGCAGGTAGAGTCCATTGCTGAGCACTCTGGGGCTGGAACAAGACTAACGCGCAACTGTGGACACTACCAGCAGCCAAGAAGATTGTGTATTACATTACTAACTACAGCTTTGCTGGAGTCCTCTTTATTTATTGAAGTAAGAAAAGCTGTTTCCTTTTTTATGGTGAGCTTTGGATTTCAAAGCTCCCAAAGTAGCCACCACCCTTTGCCTTTTTTTAGATAATGAAGTAGGTATCACTTGCATAAGAAAGAGTGTGTAGCAAGATAAGCCAAATCAAACCTAAGTTGCTGGATTTCACTATCCAATGCAGGGTGTCAGGGGCTTATAGCAAGACTAAAGCCCTTGACTTCAGAAGGGCCAACTTCACTGAGCTTAGGAGATTAGTGGGGGAGGCACTGAGGGCCCAGAAGGCAGAGGGGATGGTCGTATGTTAAGGGGACAATGCTCCAGGCCCAAAGGATAACATTCCCTGAGAGAAGCAAAGGGGGTAAGAGTGCTCAGAAACCCCCTTGGCTCAGCAAGGGCATTCAGCAATGCCTGAAGACTAAAAGGGGGGCATACAGCCAGTGGAAGGGAGGAGCTATCACCAAGGAGGAGTACTCCTCGGCCCGTGAGTGTAGGAGGGCTATTAGGAAGGCCAGGGTAGAGATGGAATTCAGGCTAGCGTCCAGGATTAAGGACAGCAAAAAGTCCTTTGAGTACATTGGGAGCAAGAAGAGGGCACCAGGCAATGTAGGGACTCTGCAAGACACAAACAGTGTTCTTGTGGCTACGCCAGACAAGAAAGCTGATATTTTTAACAGTTTCTTTGCCTCTGTTTTCTTGAACGGGGACCACGACATCCCACCTACCAGAGGTAGGGACAGTCTCAGGGATAGCTCTGTCAGGCCTTGGGTCAGCGCAGATGTAGTTAGGGATCTTCTGGCAGAGCTAGACATTTTTAAATTTGCAGGTCCAGATGCCCTACACCCAAGGGTGTTGAGGGAGCTGGCAGGCGTCATCGCGAAGCCCTTGGCCCAGCTGTATGAGCATTCATGTTCATCTGGCCAGGTGCGGGGGGTTGGAAACTGCTCACGTGGTCCCAATTTTCAAGAAAGGGAGGAAGGAGGACCCAAGTAACTATAGGCCCGTAAGCCTCACCTCGGTGGTCAGGAAGATTTTGGAGAGAATCATCAAGGAGCACACCTGTGGGGGCCAGCAGGGGAGATCCTGCTCAGGGGCAATCAGCATGGGTTCATCAAAGGCAGGTCCTGCCTGACCAACCTGATTGCCTTTTATGACCAGGTGACTAAATCCTTGGATGATGGTGTTGCTGTGGACGTAGTCTTTCTAGACTTTAAGAAGGCCTTTGAC